CGCTGAAACGTTGAAACGTTGAAACGCTAAAACGCTAAAACGCTAAAACTCAAAAAAATTTACTAAATAAGGCAATAGCCGTGTAGATAGCCCTTTTATGGAAATAACTTACACCTTGCATGTCCAAATAAGGCAACGTGCATGCAGATCGTACTCCTTTTATGGAAATAATCTACGTTGCGCATAACTTAAAATCTCTTCATGACATAACCGAATATTTAGATATTAAATTCGTTAATGGCGGTACAGGATCACCATTTTCAGCAAAAATTCCCCAAAATATCGACTGTGGCGAAGATAGCATCCTAAAAAAGCATGGTTCACTCGAATTACGAGCATGTAAAACCGGGAATAAAGTAGGAATAAATAAAAAGGGCTCTAATTCTGGACCTACTACTGGAACACCTCCATGTTAATTTGATTAAAGAATCTTTAAATTTGTCGAAAATATTTTGAAATTGTTTTAAACTTTTTCATATTTAACTCGACGTTAAAATTTCTTTGTTGTTAATTTGGTATTTAAATATAGTACACTATATTGTTTCTTATAACAATTCATGTTAAAAATTGATAAAAATTAGTAATAGTTTTAATAGTTCTAATAAATGTAAAATTTTCATTTCAAGAGTCAACTTTGAAAATAACCATTCTATTGTTATTGTAAATTTTTTATATTTATTAATCATTAGCGTTAGGTGTAAAGCCTGTCATTAATAACAAACCTGTCATTCAATGCGTAAGTGTTACACGAATCTGCAATGTCTGTATACCGTGCAGCGATTTGTGCGATTCTTGGCAAACTTCTTATCAGACCATTTTTTTTCATATATGTATGTGGCGTATGATTGTGTGCATGTCTAGACTGGATTGCATCGACTTTTACTTAGGTTATATGATTTTTTTGTAGCTTGTATCATCTTCGTGCAGGAGATCTACACCCAAGATTTCAGGAAAAAACATTTTCGTCCATCATTTTTGTACGTACAGTACGTAGCTATTTCTATTGCTATTACAATTTATATTTCTATTGCTATTTCATTCGTGAGCCGATATCTTTGTCTTTTCGTAACGTTTTTGTCGGATTTTTTACTGGACAGATGAATTGATAATCGCTGATCGTAGCCATTTGTGCCATGTTAATCAATAGGCTTTTTATCTATCACTATTCTTATTTAGTCAGTTAATTAACCAATATGTCCTTGCGATGTTGTTACAATAAAACCAAGAACATGATGTTTTATTCAGAATTTATGAATTAATTTAATCATAAAATGTATATAAATAAAGCAATATAATTATTTTTTATTCAGTGTCTCATTATACACCAATTTCGTAGCATTTTGCCAATAATTATTTTGTTGATAAAGTTGGGGAAATTTTGATATATACGTAGTCAATGTTGGCGCAAGGTAGATTGTCGATGAAGATTATAGTAACCTTACTACGTATGTAAGTGCAATTTTATCTACAAAATTGTAAATAATGTTAATACCTACTGGTATTATCACGTTAATATATGGGATCTTTGCTAGGAAAATCACCCTTCGACATTTTCCGATCGGGCAAATTCGGGAAAATTCGAACCAATATTACCGGTATTTACTTGCATATAAATCATTTTTGCCTTTATTGGTTCAAACATTCATTCGATAAGCTATTGAATCAATAATGATAAGGGCAAATCATGATTTACATGTAAATAAGAACCGTCGAAGGGTGATTTTCCTAGCAAAGATCCCATATTTTTTCGTGATGATTTTTTATAGGTAAGGAAATCACGCTGAAAAATCGAGTATTAAATTTTAGGGTCGTACACCATTTCTTTTTCCACTAAGCCATACACTTTATGATTCCATCGCTTGTTCTTGACATTTGTGATTCCATCACTCATTCCTAGGATAATCATTCGTTTAATCAAAGTATCTGGGACAATTTTATTAATTTTTTCTTATGCTGACTTAAGCCGTTCTAGGCACCTCTCTCAATGTAATTAGCTAATGATCGAGGTGACGCTCAAACGCTACGATCAATTGAAATAAAGATTGCGATCGGTGATTGAGATCGGTGATTGAGCTTAGTGATTGAACCAAGGTATACCGGGTGGGTCGAGTATCTGGGTTGCGATTATGTACACCCGTGAGCCAATCCCGCTGTTAATATTAGCAAGCCAAAGTGTAATGAACTTTCAAGATAGTCTCATAGAAGGAAGATCGTCTGATTGGCTGATTTACCCGTGATCACCCATAATAATTCATCGCCTCAAACCAGAAAGCAATAGAAACTTTGTACGAAATTTATAAATTAATAAATATACAAAAGAATTAATTTATTTCAAATATATAGAGGATACATAGATATATGTAAAGTAGAATAAAGGCGGTATTCATTATTAATAAACCCAAACTAATTAACGCAAGAACCAAATTATATTCAAGTATAAACCCTGAACTTCTTTTACAGTAAAACCTATTCTTATTTCAAATTCAATAGTTAGTAATAAAAGTTTTTCTAAATCTAACATAATAAGGCAGTCTTGTCTTTATTTCAGTGTCCAATAAATGGTAGGCATATTTTGTCTTCCAAGCAAAGTTCGTCGGGATTAAGATTATTTTGCCCAGTGAATATTAACGTTCGTTTAAAGCTAGAAATGGTTTTTGTGGCGATTAGGGATGGGTTCGGCTGGCTATTTTCGGCTTAGCCGACCGGCTATCTCGTGATCGAGTGATCCA